TAGATGCCTCGTCCAGAGATCGAAGCATCTTCTGTTTATACGTGTTTTAAAGGAGATTTAATACATAAGATAAGATATAGCGATTATAAAGGCGTAGTTTCAGGTTAAAGAGGGGTTTATCCTGTTCGGTGCCATCTCGGGGGAACGGGGGCGTCCCTTTCGACTATGCTGCATGGCAGTGCCTGGCTTCTCTGGGACGGGGTTTGACCCTTTAGATTGATCTCTACATCTCTTTCTCTGATCAGATTCGTATTTAATCTCTCTCTCTCTCGGCCAGCCAGCCTCCTCTTTCTCTTCTCTTTGGCCTCTTTTTATACAAGTCATTCCCATCTTGTCCTATTCATTCGGCGTGCCATAGGAACAGGTGGGTTGGTGGCGCATGCATGATTTGGGAAGCTCGCCAACTGCCCAGAAATAGTACGTTAGGAAATTGTTAGCCGAGCCAACAGACGGTGTTAACGTTTAAGGTTGTTCGGTATCCACATATCGTGATATCCTTGGCCGTGGTAAAACTAGATCTAAGAGTTATATAATAATTTATACGAATTATTTATATAAAATTCACCATTTGATTTATTAAGATATTTTTTATATATTTTATCAAAAATATTTCATATTAATTATTTTTTTAAATATTATTTTTTCAATTAATTTTGTTTAAACTTATATTTATAAAAAAACTTATTACATCATCCATATTATAAAAATTATATAGATTTTTTATGTTATAAACTTAGAAGTCCAACTAACACAATTTTTTACATACAATCGTCACAAATGTTACATATTATATTATTTATAACTCTATAATCAAAACATTAAGATATACACTGGCTATATTCAATCATATCTTATTAAATGTATACGAATTAATTTTCAAGCTATTTTATTTAAAAATTAAATTATATTCTATTAAAAACAAAAATTATATTATATTATAATATTATACAAAATTTAAATTGAAAATCAAATATATTATTTATATAATCTTAACTATTATTTGAGAATCATGTTTAATAAAAAAATTTGATGTGTCATCATTTTAGCAAAAATTAGTGTAAATTAATGGTGACATGGAATTGTGACATGACAAAATTCTTAAAATAAACAAAATATTTTGATTAGTGGAATTATAATTAAATAAATTATAAAATTATAAAATAAATAGACTAGATTATAACACTAAAATAATAAATTTAAATTTACAAAAATAATAATTACTATGATCTCAATTTATTTTTACATATATTCATAATAAATTGCATAAAATATGATTACGAAAATTTTACAACCAATATATATTTTATAATTTTATATAGAAAATAATAATAGACTATCCAATAAGATAGTATATACACTATATATTAATAATGCTAGGAGTATGATATATTATTATTTGTATATAATTTTTTTAATTTTTTATATTATTATTTTTTAGAATTTGCGTAGCTTACTTTACCATCTCATTTTATCTCTTATTATTTTTGTAAATACATAAAAAGTTAATATCATACTCATATACAGTCTCATTGTAGATCGAGAATTTGAGATAAAAAAAAATAAAACGCAATGTAACCGGATGAAAAAATAAATTATAAATATGAAAAAACAAATATACTTAAGAAGTAGAAGTAAAAATAAAAATAAATCTCTTCTGTTTTGTTTTTCCCTAACACTCACAAAAATTATTTTACAGAGTCATTTAAAAACATTAAGAAAGATTTTATATAATAAACGCATGTGTGGCTCAAATATTATAATGAACACGTGCGTGCAGACCAATCATAAGAAATTTTTTTTCATCAAACTAATTCCTCAATATTGGACAAAGAGATGAGTGGAGAGGTAACATAGAATTTTATAAAATATGATTTCACAAATTTATAACAAATTTTTATTTTAAATTTTATTTGATATTAATATATATATGTGAATAAGAAGTAGAAATAAAAGTAAAAATGAATCTTTACGACTTTGGTTTTCTGTAAAAATCTCAGGTTATGTCTTTGGTTTATAGCATCTCTAACCCACCTTTATTTTAAATCTTCTAATTTAAAGAAAAAATAGTGATGTTATTTTTTCTTCTATAAGTGGAGAAAAAAGTAACAATCTTTTCTATAAAATAGAAATAGGTTAGAGAGAAATCCACCTATATTTTAGAAGAAAAAATATAAAAATTAATTGGAGATGATCTTATTGTTTAACATATTATTCACGGTCAAGAAACAAAATATGAGTCAAAGAAGACAAAAAAAAATGTTTGATCGATTTAATATTTACAAATATTATCTTACACATACTAATTCTTTCATGCATATATTTATTCAACATCTTAAAACATTATTTTATGAATCTAGTTTTGTATATGTTATGATTTATTATATATAAGAATAACACATATATCAAAGTTAGGAACAAAATAACTCTTCTCTTTATCTATAACAATTAAATATTAAATATATTATTATACACCTTCAATTATACACATATAAGTTTAGGATCCGACTGGTTTAAACACTGCGATTACAGAGAGTTTATGAACGCGAGCGATTGCGGGCTATAAAAAATTTGACAAAGAGACGAGCAGAGAGCTACCGGAGAATTTTATGAAATATGAATTGACTAATTTTATAAGAAATTTTTATTATAATTTTTATTCAGAAACCATATATCACAAAACGTTGAATAATATAAATTTTGATTAAATATAAAATGATAGAAATGGTTTTCGTGATTATTGTTAAACGCAAAAAACTGTATCGTGTAAAATCATAACGTTTGCTGAAAATATTAGAAAAACTAAGCAACACCTAACTATTAAAATTCACTTATTTATAACTCATACCTACATGCATAAATATATGTATTTTTATTTTAAAAAATCAATCATACATTATAAAAATATATATTACAAAACATATGTTTTGTTATTTTCTTTTAACACATAAAAGACATACTTCAATTTTTTCACAAATATGCGTGTAGATATAAATATTAATTGTGGAAAAAATCAAAGTTACATGTAAACTTGCCGTGCATACATTTTCTTACCCTCAATTACAGTCTAATTTTAATTTTAGTTATTAGTCAATCTGTATTTATTAAAAAAATCTCTCGTGCGGACCAACCAGCTCACCGCTCTTAGGATAAGTAGTGATAATAAAACCCATTTTGATGTACTTAGCAATAGGTCAAAGAAAAATATATACTTAACATATATATATATATATATTGACAAGATTATACTATACAAGGAATTAAAGAAATATAATATAGATAATATTCAAAACATATTATAAGAATTTAATTATTATTTAATATAACTTTTATATTTGTAAGCATATGTTACTCTAAACGCTAAAAAAACAAAAAAAATTCAAAAGACACAAAACGATATGAAAGATGTGTGTGATTGTTGTTAAACACTAAAAGTGTATATGTATAAAATTGTAACGCTTACATAATAAGTTTTCTTAAGACATAAAACAATTTGAAATGTTTGTACGATTGTTGTTAAACACTAAAACTGTATATGTATAAAAATGTAATGCTTAAATGTTACAACTAATTATGTCTATAAAAAACTATATTTGCACATGTCTACGGACCAACCATAAAAATTAAATAAATTATTATATATTTTAATATTTTCATTTTATTTAGTAATCATATTTACACTTTTTATCTAATGAAGTATTTTAAAAATCTGGGTTAATATTTTCTTATCTTCAATTTCTATTGAAATCTATAACATTTTTCATTTAATTTTTTTATTATTATTATTAAATACTTGTATATTATTATTATTAATACATAATTAATCATATACAAATAAAGCATCTTCAATATATAATATTAATCATATATTTAACATATAAAATATTTTATAGCCTGCACACGGTGCAGGCTGATCACCTAATATTAAATATATATATACTAGATATTTTATTCTGGGCAGAGTACGAATTATTATCTAATCTTTATTATAAATGAAGAATTAGTGTTTTAAAAAAAAACCAATACCACTAGTAGATATACAATCTTAGTCTATTTTGGGTTTAAAACATATTCTTGACCGTATCTCATCATATAAGGACACCGGCTTTCAAATCTAAACTAAATTTAATTTTTTTTGTTAAGGTTATTTTTTCATGCATTTAGATACAATTTTGATGACTTTAAAAATGAAAGAATCCTCTATATTTAGAAAAAAATCTCAGATTTACTTACAAATATGTTAATAAATTTGCTAGATTATAATTTTTTTTTTTAAAAAAGTGAATGACAACTGCAACAATCTTCTGTAGATTTTACCTTAAGTATTACCTTAAATAATATTTGTGTTTCTTACTATCCACTTTTTTATATTGACTGTTGATTTAGTATCTATTATATTTAAGTAATATTTTTGACAATTTTAGTATGAAATGAATACCATTTATATAATTTTTTTTTAAAACTATCTTTTTAGTTTATCGTTAGTTTGCTATTAATTTATATTAGTATGCTATTAATCTGTATTTAATTGAATTTTAATTATATAACTAATTAATCTATCATTAATTTGTATTTATTCTGTCATTTTTCAGAAAGGTGTATGTTTCATATTATTTTTCTATTATATATTATTTTACATCATTTCCTTATAACTTATTTATCTCAGAGTTCTATGTTTACCCCCGGAAGATCATATCAAAACCTGTAAATAGTTTGGCACTAAATGGAAATGAATATTTACAGATTTTCAATTAAATTAGAAATCTTGTCCTTTTAGGAATCTAAATTATTAGCATGTTTTCTTTTTTTTCATTTTTAAGTGAAGAGTTAGTACTGTAGTCTTGATAAATATCAAGAAAACGATTGATAATTAGCTGTAATTTTATCTAAGAAGATGATTGATAGATTAGCTGTAATCTAAAAATGCTATATTTTTCTACTTTTTATAAATATATGCATACTTTTAGTCACTCCACCACAATCTATCCGGAAAGTATTCGAAAATGGCAAAGCAAACATTCATCTACTGTTCCCTATTAGCCATCGTCATCTTCTGGGCTCCCTTTTCTTCAGCTCAGAAGAAAACCCTAACCGTTGAGCTAATCCACCGTGACTCTCCTCGTTCTCCCCTCTACAACCCTCTCCACACTGTCTCCGACCGTCTCAACGCCGCTTTCCTCCACTCAATCTCCCGTTCCCGCTATTTCTCAACAAAAACCGATATCCAATCTGGTTTAATCGGAAACAGCGGCGACTACTACATGACCATCTCAATCGGTACTCCAGCGACTAAAGTCCTTGCCGTCGTCGACACAGGAAGCGATCTGACTTGGATCCAATGCAAACCGTGCCAGCAGTGTTACAAACAAAACGGTCCAATCTTCGACAAGAGCCAGTCTTCGACATACAAAACCGAATCATGCAATTCTACAGCTTGCCACGGGTTATCCAAAGACAACAAAGGATGCGACGAATCGAGAAACATATGCAAATACCAATACTATTATGGAGACAATTCGTTTTCCAAAGGAGAAGTTGCAACCGAAACATTAACCATTGATTCTTCCTCTGCCTCCCATGTTTCTTTTCCTAGTACAGTCATTGGTTGCGGTTACAATAACGTTGGTACGTTCACAGAAACCGGATCTGGAATCGTCGGCCTCGGAGGCGGTCCGTTATCTTTAATTTCGCAGGTCGGCTCTTCAATAGGAAAGAAATTTTCGTATTGCTTGTCACACACGTCATCTACATCAAATGAAACAAGCTTCCTAAACCTAGGAACTAACTCGATACCTTCTATCCCAAGAAATGGTTCCGTTGTGCTCACTACGCCGTTAGTCACAAAAGCCCCAAACACTTACTATTACGTTACTCTCGAAGCAATCACCATTGGCAACACTAAGCTTCCGTACACAGGAGGAGGAGGATACGGTTTATACGATGTTGGGGAATCAAAGACAACAATCCCTGGGAACATCATAATTGATTCTGGAACTACATTTACGTTTCTTGAATCCGGATTTTATGGTCGTGTTGTTGCAGCGGTGGAAAAATCGGTGATCAGAGGTAAGCGCGTAAGTGATCCACAAGGGCTTTTACCTCACTGTTTCGAAGACAAAGCGATCAGTTTGCCGGAGATAACAATGCATTTCACGGGAGCTGACGTGAAGCTGAGCCGGATCAATGCATTCTTAAAAATGAGTGAAGATACGGTGTGCTTGAGTATGCTTCCGGAAACTGGGATCTCTATCTACGGGAATTTGATTCAGTTGGGTTTTCTTGTCGGGTATGACTTGGAGGCGAAAACGGTGTCATTTCAGCACTTCGATTGCGCTAGTCATTTGTGAAGTAAATTGGTGTCGTTAAACGTTTGAGTAATCTTATATTCATCATTAATGCAATAAACGATTATTGAGTGGAATAAAATATCTCTTATATTTCTTAGTCTCATCTTGTTATTTTTTTTAAATTAATTGTGGAAGTTCCGAACAGCAATGGTCAATATTAATTAAATATGAATTAGTATAATACTTATTGATTCATATTTAAGTAATATATGGAGTTTCTTATGAGAAACTTCCAATATGGATGGTCTTAGGTTCATAATTTTCCAGTGTCAGTATCCAAAGTCTTTTTATAATTCGATTTAAAGAAATTATTTCTGTCTGAACACGTGTTTGCTTCAAGAGTTACGTAATTGTAAATGTTCTGGGCTTTTGCGAACAAAAATCCGCCATGTAGATTGCACCATCGACGAAAAGAAAAATCCTCAACTAGGAGATATGGAATTCTTGACACAAATGAGAGACACGGAGATGTTCATAACCTGCGAGAGCATGAACCGATCGCTATCCCTATCGACGGCAAGGCATAAAGAAACAATATGCGTTTTTAGACTTTTCACGAGATATATACCTCTCCAGGCCGGTCATAATCATTCGGGGGCAACTCGTGTGGGCCTGTCCGCTATCGTTTGTTCGCGTGAGCAAGCCCTTTTTTTGTCATTCCCATTAGGCATGCGCATCTATCTCTTTCCCTGCTTGCGCTATTGCTTGATTTCCTGTTTGAGTGATTCCCTACTTTTGTAATTACTTGATTTCTTGTTTGAGTGATTTCCTGCTTGTGTGATTACTTGATTTCCCATTTAAGTGATCCCCTGTTTGCGTGATTGCTTGAGTTCCTGTTTAAGAGATTCCGCGCCTGCGTGATTACTCGATTCCCTGACTGTATGATTCATTGCCTGCTTAAACTCTTGTTTGCACGTTTACTTCATCACCTGATCTTCCGGACCCATTCGGCCGTTCGCGTTATTTACCCATGTCTGTTAGTCATCTTTCTGTTAGTATAACCTCATTTGCACTTATCATATCCTCCATGGACATCATGCTTGTAGTTCGAATTACATTAAAACCCCCTAAGTCCTAAGACCTCCTAGCAGGCTCCCCCATGGACCTGCTAAACTTCTGGGGCACTATACCTCCGAAAATTCTGGACTTCGGTTCTACAAACCTATGGGTCCTGTTTGCCAGCTCCCTCTGGGGACCGTGCAATTTTCCAGCATGTTGCCTTGTGGACTTGCTTGCCTTCCGAGGCATCATTCCTCCAGGAATTCTGGACTCCGATCCCATACACCTTCGGGTCGTTTTGTCAGCTCCTTCCGAGGATCGCACAAATCTTTAGTGTGCTCCTTCTGGGGACGCATCAGCCATCCAGAGCATATTTCCTCTGGGAATTAGGACATTGGCCCCGCAGGCCTCCAAGTATTTCCCGCCAGCTCCCTCCAGGTACCATGCAAACCACCCGTGTGCTCCTTCCGGGGACGCATTTACCTTCTAGAGCACCATCAGGGAATTGAGGTCACTCTTTCTGGAGGGCTTTCTCTTCTCAAAACAAATCTCTTCCTAACACGATTCTAAAGCCATGAAACTTTCAGCGTAAGCACAACACGAAGACTGTTCTGGCAGTGTGGGAGTCGGGATAACACCTCCGGGAAACGCCCTGTTTCGCCAAAAGCTAGCTAGCACAAGCTGTTAAAAATCAACGGCTCCCCCTCATGTTACCAACCTGCGCATGGGAACCATCTTCTAGTGCCTCACAAAGTAAGGAGTAAACTTTCTTTGAAGAGATGCTCATCTATGGGCGACCAACAGCTCTTCTGAAAACCTAACATCCTTCTATTCTGGGCAATTATGTACTCTTTCGGGATGCATGCCCGAGCTGGGGTAGGACTCAATCTAATAGTTCTTCCGAGAATCTAATCATTTCTCCCGAAATTCGGCAGTTTGTCTGGAAACTCAGCTTCGCTCTGGCAAGACCAGTACTCTTATGGGAGACGCAACAAAGTCGAGGTGTGGCTATTCAACTGTTTCTCTGGAAACTCCTTTCTCGCCCTGACTAGTCCTGTACTCTTCTGGGATGCGCAGAAGGGTCGGGATGAACCGTTCTAACACGGCTCTTAATCGGACCAAACCTTCAAATTCCAAATTAATTTTGATTATCTTGCAGGAAGGACGAATTGGTCGAATTCCCGACTCATTTCCAATCAGTTATAAGTCGGGAGCAATTGTTGAGCCCACATTAATCACAACCAACCTCGAGGCAACACGTAGCTATTGGGCTCCACCCAAGTGATGGTTTCTTCACCTATGTCTGTCAATGGCTCCCTAATGGACTGTTTCCGGGCAGGTAGCGGGCTTACCAAGCAAGGCATGATGTACTGTTCTACCTGTTTTATTTTTACGTGAAGGGTTAGTACTGTAGTCTTGATAAATATCAAGAAAACGATTGATAATTAGCTGTAATCTTGTCTAAGAAGATGATTGATAGATTAGCTGTAATCTAAAGATGCTATATTTTTCTACCTTTTATAAATACATGCATACTTTTACTCACTCCACCACAATCTATCCGGAAAGTATTCGAAAATGGCAAAGCAAACATTCATCTACTGTTTCCTATTAGCCATCGTCATCTTTTGGGCTCCCTTTTCTTCAGCTCAGAAGAAAACCCTAACCGTTGAGCTAATCCACCGTGACTCTCCTCGTTCTCCCCTCTACAACCCTCTTCACACTGTCTCCAACCGTCTCAACGCCGCTTTCCTCCACTCAATCTCCTGTTCCCGCTATTTCTCAACAAAAACTGATATCCAATCTGGTTTAATCGGAAACAGCGGCGACTACTACATGGCCATCTCAATCGGTACTCCAGCGACTAAAGTCCTTGCCGTCGCCGACACAGGAAGCGATCTGACTTGGATCCAATGCAAACCGTGCCAGCAGTGTTACAAACAAAACGGTCCAATCTTCGACAAAAGCCAGTCCTCGGCATACAAAACCGAATCATGCGATTCTACAGCTTGCCACGGGTTATCCAAAGACAACGAAGGATGCGACGAATCGAGAAACATATGCAAATACCAATACTATTATGGAGACAATTCGTTTTCCAAAGGAGAAGTTGCAACCGAAACATTAACCATTGATTCTTCCTCTGCCTCCCATGTTTCTTTCCTTAGTACAGTCATTGGTTGCGGTTACAATAACGTTGGTACGTTCGCAGAAACCGGATCTGGAATCGTCGACCTCGGAGGCGGTCCGTTATCTTTAATTTTGCAGCTCGACTCTTCATTAGGAAAGAAATTTCCGTATTGCTTGTCACACACGTCATCTACATCAAATGAAACAGCTTCCTAAACCTATGAACTAACTCGATACCTTCTATCCCAAGAAATGGTTCCGTTGTGCTCACTACGCCGTTAGTAACAAAAGCCCCAAACACTTACTATTACGTTACTCTCAAAGCAATCACCATTGGCAACACTAAGCTTCCGTACACAGGAGGAGGAGGATACGGTTTATACGATGTTGGGGAATCAAAGACAACAACCCCTGGGAACATCATAATTGATTCTGGAACTACATTTACGTTTCTTGAATCCGGATTTTATGGTCGTGTTGTTGCACGGTGATCAGAGGTAAGCGCGTAAGTGATCCACAAGGGCTTTTACCTCACTGTTCCGAAGACAAAGCGGTCAGTTTGCCAGAGATAACAATGCATTTCACGGGAGCTGACGTGAAGCTGGGCCGGATCAATGCATTATTGTAAACAAGTGAAGATACGGTGTGCTTGAGTATGCTTCCGGCAACTGGGATCTCTATCTACGGGAATTTGATTCAGTTGGGTTTTCTTGTCGGGTATGACTTGGAGGCGAAAACGGTGTTATTTCAGCACTTCGATTGCGCTAGTCATTTGTGAAGCAAATTGGTGTCGTTAAACGTTTGAGTAATATTATATTCATCATTAATGAAACAAACGATTATTGTGTGGAATAAAATATCTCTTATATTTCTTAGTCTCATCTTGTTATTTGTTTTTAAATTAATTATGGAAGTTTCGAACAGCAATGGTCAATATTAATTAAATATGAAGGGTCAGGATGAACCGTTCTAACACGACTCTTAATCGGGCCAAACCTTCAAATACCAAATAAATTTTGATTATCTTGCAGGAAGGACGAATTGGTCAAATTTCCGACTCATTTCCAATCAGTTAAAAGTCGGGAGCAATTGTTGAGTCCACATTAATCACAACCAACCTCGAGGCAACACGTAGCTATTGGGCCCTACCCAAGTGATGGTTTCTTCACCTAAGTCTGTCAACGGCTCCCTAATGGACTGTTTCTGGGCAGGTAGCGGGCTTACCAAGCCAGGCATGATGTACTGTTCTACCTGTTTCAACCGCATACCGCGTGGATGGGGCTTATCGAGGAGAGGGAGTATAAAAGGAGCTTGAGGCCAAAGGAAAGAGAATCCGTGATCCGCAACCCGGGATCCAAAAGAGAAAGATCAAATCTAGAGATAATACACAATGAAAGGAATAACTTCTGACCTCCACCTCACTGAAGTTCGCCCTAGTTCCGTTCAGACAGCGAGACTTTAGGGGGTACACTCGCAGTCCTCGGAAGGAACAAAATCCAGGATATGTCTTCCGTCCCCCATCTGTCGTACATCATTATATCCATGAAGAGAGAGTTCCTACCCTGCCCTTGTCATGATTCCTTTGTCATACTTCCATCCTTACCAAACAACAGATAGGTATCACAGACCTCGAACGGGGTTCCTAAACCATTAACACATCACCAAACCTACCCTCCCAAGTTTCTGTTTCCAGTAGGGCTTGCATTGATTTTAGCGTCGGATAACCTTCAGGAAGGAAACCCCCTTCCGGTCTCCCTGGAGGTCTGACTTACTCATTTGCTAGTATATGCAGAACCCCGCCAGATTTCCCGAAGCCACATACCACTCATCCTTCCCGGGAACGAAACTTGAAGACCCAGCTCTGCTATCTGAATGAACACACACCCCCTGTAAGCATATATAATTTTCTCCCAAATATCTGTTAAACTTTTTATTTCTTATGACTCAACTCCTCAAATCTAAAATAATGTCATCATACCACAAGAGGTTATCAATCCTTCATGGGAATAATGTAATAAAGATGTATAAGTTGTTTAACCAAGCAAGAAGGGGGTTTAAAGAGGCTAGCACTCAACAATCAAACAAGTGCAAACAAGTAACTAAGAAGTCAAACTATAAAACAAACTAAAACATGAAACTCAAACCAAACAATTGTAGTTGCGAAATTCACAAAATATAGTAATGAAGGATGACTTAAACAATAAAAGGAAATGGCCTCATGATGGAGAAATGAAGTTAGGATGACTTTCTGAATGATCAATGATGCTCAAACAACATTACAATGGTAATCTTCAGGCATACAACTTCTAAACAAGATTAATTCACTCTCATGATATTAATCACTTTACTAAACATCCTATCAAAGCTAACTTTCATTAGTGAAAATATAATTAGCAAGCATTAAACTTCAGTTCTATAGAGCCGATAAACACCTTAGACAATTAATCCCTTAGGCTAAGCATGTAAATCACTTGTTCAATTGATTCAGGAATTTCAACAAACACTTTTGATGCATCAAAATCACTAAGATCAAGAATACCTCTCTTAAAGTCAATCAAACATTAAGGACATCAAACAAGTAAGGATATGAAAGAATTACACACAAGACATCAAGAATCAATCATCAAAATCACCCTAATTTACCCCATCTTAAAACCCAAAGAACTACTCACTAACCATGCTTAGAATCATAAGAATATGGCTAAACATGATTGGATGATGATAAGCAAATTAAGACAGGTACATAAACTTTATTAAAATGATCCAAGATCACATTTTGTTCTTCAAGCAGAATACAAAAGAGAGAGATTTGATGTGATAGAATAATAAAACTTGGATAATAAGAGGTTTTTAGGCCAAGCTATTTATAGGAAAACCCAAAATAGGCTTGGTCAACAAAAATAAAACCTAGTCAACGAGATAGTCAACTCTCGGATTGGCCACACCCCACAGAGCAGGAAGGTGCCCTTGTTGGTATACGTGCTCGATATGTCTGTCATCGTGTATCAATCAAGTCCCTCGATGTACGGCAGTCCCTCCACGGTGCAGTCGCCTCAGAGCAAGTTCCTCGATATACGGCAGTCCCTCCATGGTGCAATCGGCTCGGAGCAAGTCCCTCGGTGTACGATGGTCCTTCCACGGTGCAATTACCATCGTGGAGATTCCTCGGTACAGATGGCTTCTTGGTCAGCGTGAAGTGTATTGAGCCAAACAGAACATGCCCTCCTCGGTGCAGCTGCTCGATATGGCTCTTCTTCTCCACTACAACCTTCTTTCTTCCAGTGCCCTTCTTAACCTCATAATGATCTGAAATACAGTCTAAAAACAGCAATGCATGCAGTCCTAGTCCTAATGCACATTAAGTCTAATATGAATACAAATGGACATTTAGGACAATAAAATGGATAAAAAGAAGTAGAAACCTACACTAAATGAAGTCTAATATAATGAAATAATGCAAGCTATCAACTCCTCCAAACTTGTCTTTTGCTTGTCCTCAAGCAATAAAGAACAAATAAGGGAGAGAGGTTTGAAAATGGGAGTTCACAACCTAAAATGCCGAAGGAAGAAGTGAGATCAACGATTGATATACTCATTATTTATACCATTTTAGCATGCATTCATCATAAGTTTTTAGTCTTTAAACATGCATTTTTCACTTGTTCTTGTCCCATTTGCATCCATTTAGGACTTAGAGTAGTTTTAGGAGTTATATTGCATGTTTGGTACATTTGGAGTTTGTGGCAGGTGTAAATGAGGTGTTTAGAGGAGTGATCAAGGAGTGAAGCCAAGGCAAGCCAAGGAAGAACCAAGGCGTGGAGGACTATCTCAAGCTGGAGATCGGGCAAGTCTGTTCGATATTGACGATATCGATCTGCATCTCGGCGTAGACAAATCGATACAGTATTCAAGACTTGTACCACGTTAGATATTGGGGTGGAAACAAGCCGATACATGCATAACGTACCGGAGAGCATATAGAGCTGGACCAGCCTACACACTTGAGACAGGACAGCCACACCGCGTTTTGTATCGAGGTAGACAGATCGATACACCTTAACACGCGATCGTACCGACCTGTCTATCGGGGAAGGCTAGCTCGATACAACCCACGAATATAGACGTATCGGCCTGCGTATCGAGGAGGAGCAAGCCAATATAATAGGAAAGAAGTTCATATTAACCTGGATACCGGCCTGGACAGCCTGATATGGTGCTTTCGAACCAAACCTAATCCTGTTTACTCTTGGCTTATTAGGGATATTCCTCCTACCTATAAATATGTTAATACCTAAAATCATTAAGCAATCTACCTTCTATTGGTTTTAGCCTTAAAAAATTTCTCTTTTGAGTAATCCTTTTAAGAACCTTGATTTGCCAAGACACACTAGGAATTGCATTCAAGGCTGTTAACTTTCTCTTTTAAAAGCTTGACAAGCTTTTAAACTTTTCATTTAAGGTTGTTAACTTTGTGGGTGAAGCTGGTCAAGTCAAAGAGGAAGAACCTGATCTTCAAGAAGAAGCCTTCTATATGAATTAACAAGATGGTGGTGGCTTCAACAACTACATAAATCATCCAACCTTCTTATATAGAAGCACTAATATGACCAACCCACAAGACCAAGTCTACCCTTCCCAAGGAGCTCAACAAGCTCAAGTGAACAAGCCTTTTGTCCCTTACAACAAACAGCAAGGCTTTGTCCCTAAACCACCATTTCAGAACAACCAAGGAGGCTACCAACCAAAGAAACGTCCACCTGGTTTTGGCAATGCACAAGTCTCTACAATCAACCATGATGCAGAAACCAATCAAATGGTTCAGCAATTGATTAATGGCCAAGCTACTACAATCATGGAGCTTCACAAGAGGTTAGCTGTGGTACACAACAAGATAGACCCATCCACTTGTGCTTTGAACTCCAAGATATATGCCATGAATAAAAGACTGAAATTCCTTGAGAGCAAAGGCGCTTCTACCTCCAAACAGCCAATGCAACTTTCTGGAAAAAGTAAAGCAATCCAAAGGATTCTTGCAATGCAATCACCAATGAAGACGTTGAGTTTACGTGTGGGGGGGGGGGGGGGGGGGGGGGGATGCATCTACCTTGAGTGCTTCTACTGAAGAAGTGAACAAGGTCATTGAAGAGTTTCTCTTGAGTATTGCTGAAGATGATGAGGTTAATGAAGCTAAAGTGATGGAGTAACAAGAAGTTGAA